TAAGATAGAGGCAAGAATAAGCTGCAAATCAAAGTTGTTGGTTGGGATTTACCTTCCCCCATTGTGACAAGGCATAAGTAGACAAGGATCAGTGACCACTTCACAAAGAGCGCCGCGGAATCCGAGCTGACAATCACATGAGTAATGACCGACCCCGGAGCTTTTTGCACTGCTGTTGCCACCCTTAATGGTATCGAAGCTATTCGAACTGTTGTTCCTTCCTCCTGCAAGGTTTTCTCCAATACGAGCCTTACAGACCCCAGCATGTTTACAGGGCCCTAAGGAACAGGGACCATCAATTGTTGCACGGGGGTTGCAGTCATAAGCGATGCGATGAGATCGCACCAATCGGATAAAAGTGGTGGCTAAAATAAGCGAAAGAAAGTAGAAATGGGTAAATATAGCATAAATGCAATAAGGTTAGAAAACATTCAGTGATATATTTTAAAAAAAGTTAGCAAAATTCGAATAAATTCAAAACTAATAAAATAAAAAGTATATATATATATATATATATCTCATGTGAAGCGCAATCTCATCTACACAATCCTCAAATAAATTAAGATAAAACAGGTTTGTTATTATAGAAGCCTATGATTCAGCCCGAGGGACATTTATTTAAGCGCAAAATTTATCACATGCAACATGAAAAACTTGAGGCTCAAATTAAATAATTTCTGAAGTCAAAATGTTGTAATTTAAGCAATAAAATGTTAATCGCTAGTCTTAATTATTTCTATACGCAATTATTGCTTCTTCTTAGCATTTGTCAAAGTCTTTGATAGATTTTATCACTGTGCTAAGGATGGCGTCTCTCATTAACGATGTCAACTACGATGCCGACGAGACGTCTGGGCATGTACCAAGTCAAAAGTCCGATGTTGGAAATCATCATTAATATTATGGCAAAGGATGCAGGACTAAATACGTTCCACAGGATCTCTCTGGTGCTCTAAAAAAAATTTCGAAAAGAAGATGAAGCCAGCACTATACAGCTAAGGGGGAATGCAACCAAACAACCAAACACCATCTTGGTCGTCATAACTACAACGTAAATAATAATTTATAATTTTTTGGATAATAATGAAAAAAACATTTAGAACCTAGAATTGAAAGGGGAATTGACTCACTTGCTGATGTTTCTGATCGATGCTTGTCAGCACTAGCCATAGTCAAGTACAGAACTCTCGCTTGAGGAGAAGGTAAATTGGCCTGATAGGGTGGTTTTACTCTGTTTATACGTAGATCACGTATACAACCTAGGGAGTAAAAGCATTGGTAAATTAATAAAGGCAATAAAGGGAAGTGAAAAATATGAATTCGCTTAATAGTGATGAGGTAAATGCGAATATGTTGTCTTGAATCAGAAATGACAGTATAAAATTGTCAGTAAATTCATGAGCATGAAAGATACAAAATGCAATGTAAGGATCGATAATGAATTTTACGAATAAAGATGTTATTTTTTCTGCACGAGCAGTCGAAATAATGGAAAAAACAAGGGTATTCGAAAGGTGTTAGAGGACTTATGCATACATATAAGTTGGTAACGAGGAAATCCCTTAACATTTAAGACATTTATCTGATTTTTTAAAATTTATTTTTGCTAGCTAAACTTTGATTGGAAAAGGAGTCAAGTCAGAGGAAACCAAATGATGATGCATATAGCCTGATATGTAAAGACCTAAAGTTATGGCTTATTTGGAAGAACCAAGAGATCACTGATGAAGAAATTCAGCATGCATGATAGTGTGAAGATTTAGTGTGGGCAATCCTCTATTAGAAGTTGTTTGACCTTGTTTTCGCAACTTGGCCATATTTGTAGGAAGACTTAGAGGAATGCACCTAGTCCGGAGTCTATTGTATGTATGAACATTTACAAACTCGGACCATGGATGTGGTATATTCCAAGACGTTTCGCCGGCATTTTAATCGGCATCGTCAATGAGTCTCGCCATTCTTAGCATCACACAACAACTCATCAGAGACAAGTAATGCCGATCCTTTGACCAAACATGTACTAAACAGTTGTGGTATCTCCCGTTCTGCCCTGGGCTATTCACATTTCCTATATCCTCCCATCACACCTTCACTATTACAATTTTACCTTTCTTATTCGATAATGTGTGGTGTGCTCCTTTGAGCAGCATTCATGAAAACCCTTCACACTCCACACTGTCGTGCTCACCCTCT